CACCAAGTCACATCCACCAAGTCATATCCACAGAACCGGTAGCAAAATGTTTTGAATCCCACCACTGGTTAGCAAGTACACAGAGTTGTAACTTTAGGAGTTGTTGCATCAATTAGTGCCCTTGTTTCATTGCCCCTGGGCAAAAATTGACTACAGTCGGAGTTTTAGAAAAATTATGTCTGGAAAAATTCTGTGAAAATGGTTGGTTCCTCCATCATACTGATAACGCAGAGATAGAAGCACTGCAAAGGTGTCTATACAGCAGGGTTGGTCAACTATGGCCCCCTTACTACCATGGATTTTAAACCCCAGATGTGAGCATGGCTGGCTCAGGAATTCTGGGAGTTGAAAGACCGCAGAAAGTTGTAAAGAGGTCATAGTTGCCCATTCTTGCTATAGAGACTGCGGGACATTCGATGGGTATCTAACATTTCCCCAAAATATCCAGTAGGAAAAGGAGGAAAAGGAGGGATTTTACTTTGAACCGAGTCAAGCATTTGGCCCATTTGAAGCAGAAGTTTAATATCGCTCGCTCATTGGCAGAACAGGCTGTAAACACATAATATTTGCACAATATTTGCAATAGCCTGATTGCACAAAAATAAGAGCAATATTCATGCAACCAGCCTGGCTTCAAGCATCGTGTCAAGCTCCATATGCAACCAGAAACCAGTTCAATATTCAATATCTGCAAAAGCAGACATATGAAATTGTATTTATTTATTTATTAAATGTACCCACCCCATGAGTGATTCTACTCTAAGTGAATTTTAGAATAATCTTTCTCATAATAACGCCCAAAGCAAAATATTATACCTAGCCCATATGTGTGTGTGTGTGTGTGTGTGTGTGTGTGTGTGTGTGTGTGTGTATGGTATTCAGCTTTGTTCGGGTATTTTCCCACGTCATTGTAGTTGTGCTTTTAAAGTTGTAGCAATGTTTCGGCAGAATCTCATCTGCCATCATCAGAATACCATACTGCTGCTGAATACCATACATGTAAGTACCCGCGAAAACTTAAGAAAAAAAAAAAAATATATATATGGATATATATATGGATCTTTGGTTATTTGGGTTTTCTCCCGCGTAAGATTGGAAGTAAGAAAGAAAGAAGAGCGGGAGAAAACCCGAATAACCAAAGATCCACATACAAATACCCGCGAGAACCTCAGAAAACACACACACACATGTATGTATGTATGTATGTATGTATGTATGTATGTATGTTTTCTGAGGTAACCCTTTCCTGTTGTGTAAATTGGGACAGACTGCTTTCTTCTCTTTCCTTTTGCATCCTCCCTGTGTGTCTATTGTATCAGAAAGTGATTCTCTGAAGAAGATGCATCTCTGAGTTGACAGCAATGTGAATGGCACAGCCTCATGGTCCTTGGTGGTAGTGCTTCTTCCGAGATGGGACTTGTAAAATGTCTGTCAGCCCTGGAGCCATTTCCTGATACCTCCCTGGCACTTTCAGGGCTGCCAGAGTGAAGCGAGTTGAGCTGTGGGAACAGGAGAGGGGTGGAAGAGATAGCTAAGGGGCAGAGGTGGCATTCAGCAGGTTCTGACCAGTTCTGGAGAACCGGTAGTGGAAATTTCGAGTGGTTTGGAGACCCAGCAAATACCAACTCTGACTGGCCCTGCCCTCTCTATTTTTTGCCTCCCGAGTCCCAGCTGATCGGCTGGGTCTTCTTTGGTTGCCCTGCACAGGAGAACGGAGCTGGAAAGCAGGTTAGTGGGGTGGGGAGGGAATGGGGATTTTGCAGTATCCTTCCCCTGCCACGCCCACCAAGCCACACCTACAGAACCAGGAGTAAAATTTTTTGAATCCCTAAGGGATTCAAGGGATTCAAGGGATTGTAGCCATAATGAAAATTCTTTCTTCTAAGAACCAAGGACTTTCCCACCAGGTGCAAGGAGGTGGGGTCTGACACCTAGCGACCCTTGGACTGTGGCCTGATTGGACCATGTGACGGACTACATGGACTGGGGAAAGAAAACTCTACTTTTAACTAGGGGGAAACCCAAGGGGTGTTTAGAGTCGGCTTTCCCCAGATGTGCCAATATAACATGCCTAATAAATCTTTACTTTGAGGAACATGCCAGCCTTGGAGTTTCGATTCCGTTGGGTGTGTAAAACCCTGATGATATCCTGCCTCCTAGGTCTTGTAGGATAGGTAGAAAATGCTGAGAGAAGAGGGGAAATCATACAGACGCAGGCCATCCTCGAATTATGACTGCTTGTTTAACAAGCATTTGAAGCGACAAGGGCCTCAGAAAGAGTGCTTTATGGTCCACTTCCAGCCCATTGTAAAATGATATGCCCCGCCCTCTGCAGTCACATGACTGCATTTCCAGTGCTTGGCAACCAGCTTGCATTTACAACCGGTTGCAGCATGCCGGCCCCGTGACCACTATTTTCGACAGGTTTTACTGAATTCCTACAGGTTTTTTAGCACTGTTTCCTGGATTGTTTGCCGGTGAACCTGCTCGCTTGGGAGAATGGCTTAACAACCTCTGCAAAAATAGGAGAAAAATCTATGTCCTGTCCCCAAAAGGACAAGGTAAAGGAGACTCTGTGGATTTTACTCTGCTAGACTATAGGGGGCGGTGTTCACCTCCTTTTCCAGGCCATTGAGTCAGAGCTGTCCGAAGACATTTCCGTGGTCACATGGCCAGCATGATGTCGCAGAAGGTCGTTACTTCCTACCAAAGTGGTACCTATTTGTCTTTTCGCATTTGCATGCTTTCAAACTTCTGGGTTGGCAGGAGCTAGGGTGAGGATGGGAACTCAACCTGTTATGTGGAGTTCGGATCTCAAACCCTGGCTGGCTGCTTTCCAGCCAGCAAGCCAGTGGTGGGATTCAAAGTTTTTTACTACCAGTTCTGTGGGCATAGCTTGGTGGGCATGGTGTGGCTTGACGGGTGTGGCTTGGTGGGTGTGGCAGGGGAAGGATACTGCAAAATCCCCATTCCCTCCCCACCCCACTAACCTGCTTTTCAGCTCCGTTCTCCTGTGCAGGGCAGCAAAATGAGACCCAGCCAATCAGCTGGGATTCCATGGGAGGAAGAGAATAGATGGGGGCGGAGCCAGTCAGAGGTGGGATTTGCCGGTTCTCTGAACTACTCAAGATTTCCGCTACTGGTTCTCCAGAATTGGTCAGAACCTATTGAATACCACCTCTGCAACAAGTGCAACATCTTAACAACTGAGCCACTGCACTGCCTGTGCTTGTCTTGAATTACACCCACAATGACTTACCATCAAAATTCCCATCCCAATTGTAGTCATAAGTCAAGGGCTATCTATACACCCAAACTGGACCTCAGTTTTATTTATTTACTTCCTCCAACCCACCCTAGCATGAGATGCTGCAGACCACAATCCCAATGATATAGAACAACAAGAGCTGGAAGGAATCTTGGAGGTCTTCTAGTCCAACCCTCTGCTCAAGCAGGACACCCTATACCTATGATGGCAAACCTATGGTATGCGTGCCATAGGTGACACGCAGAACCATTTGTGCCAGCATGCCAGCTGCAGGCAAACTTACCTCACTCTGCATGTGTGCGACTCACAGCTGATTTTCGGTGGGTTTGAGGCCTTTTTCGGCCTCCCAAAGGCTTGATGAAGGCTTCTGCAGGCTTCTGCAGGCTTTGGAGCCGAAAACTAGCCCCATTTCATCACTTCCTGTTTTTTCTGAAAATACGGGAAGTGCCGAAACGGGGCTAGTTTTTGGCCCGCAAAGCCTCCAGAAGCCTGTAGAAGCCTTTCTCAAGCCTTTGGGAGGCCGAAAAAGGCCTCAAACCAGCCAAAAATCAGCGGTGAGGTGCAGCACAGGTAAGGGGGTGGTGGCGTGGGTGGGTGGAGATTGCGCGTGTATGCGTAGGGGGTGGAGGGGGTGCACATTGCTTTCTGGGTGCTGGCACGGTGAGGGTGAGCATTCAAGCACCAGTTTTTGGCACAATTTTTGGCACAGGAACCCAGAAAGGTTAGCCACCACTGCCCTATACTATTCCGCACAAATAGCTATCCAGTTTCTTCTTTAAAATGTCCTGTGTTGGAGCACCCACAACTTCTGCAGGCAAACCGTTCCATTTATTAATCGTTCACTGTCCGAAAATAAAGTTCAACAAGACATTGAAATAACGGACTGGAGTGGGAAGATCTTGGAAGATCAGAGTAGGCATAGGTAATCATAGGAGGAAGTTCATGGCAATTATGGGAAGACTGGGGAAGAACCTGATGTATATTTTTATGCCTGCATATACTTATGCTAATTTCTTTGACATAAGACTTCAGCAACAGAGTGGTCAATGCCTGGAATGCACTACCCGATTCTGTTGTTACATCCTCAAACCCCAAAACTTTAACCTCAAACTATCCACTATTGACCTCACCCCATTTCTAAGAGGTCTGTAAGGGGCGTGCATAAGTGCACCATCGTGCCTACCATCCCTGTCCTTTTGTCCCCATTTATTTGTACCTATTTCCTGTATTCTTACTCCTGTTTATACTTATACGCAGGAAAGGAGGAAAACGAAGGATTTCACCTTGAACCGAGTCAAGCATTTGGTCCATTTGAAACAGAAATTTAACACCACTCCCTCATTTAGCAGAACAGCCTAACGTGATTACTGTGAACCCATACAATTTGCACAATATTTGCAACCGCATGATTGCACAAAATATAGAGCAATATTAATGAAACCAGCCCGGCTTCATACATCACATCAAACTTCATATGCCTCCAGAAACCAGAGTTAAAAACTAACCAAGCCTAACATATTGTCAGCTGAACCTGATTAGATCTATCATGGGCACACCCCCATTACTCTATACCAGGGGTCTGCAACCTGTGGCTCTGGAGCCACATGCGGCTCTTTTGGCCCTCTGCTGCGGCTCCCTGTTGGCTGATCCCACCACTGGCCTGAGAAGGTAAGGGTGATGGCGCAGGATGGAGACTCGCTCCATATTCCAGAGCAGGAGGTGACTGGGTGGGAGTGAATCATGTCGAATTGGCCACGCCTACCGAGTCACACCGGTTGTTAAATTATTGTGTTTTCTTTTCTGTGGGAAAGGGGCCCAAATGGCTCTTTGAGTGTTTAAGGTTGCAGACTCCCTGATCTATACACTAACCTGGTATCAGATCCCAGGTTTTAAACATTAAGTTGTGCAAATCTTCAAAGATTGCTTTGCAGTAGAGATATGCACCTCTCCAACTTGTTAGTATCAAAATGATACGGCCAAATTTTATTTGTGAAAAACAGCAGCTTCTTCTTCGCAAGGGTGGCAGGTCTCCAGAAGCCCTATCTTCTGAGGAAAAATCCTCAATTGAGGAAGATCACCCTGGATAGCCACTCTACCTCTCACACTCATGTCTATTAAGTACAGGTATTTTCCAGGGGAAATTTTGTTTCTTCATATTCATGACTTAGCAAGCCGTTCGTCATTGGTTAAAAAGAGGGTTCAAATTCAAGTCCCAGCATTTCCTCGGAGACCTTGTGCTGGTCAGTAATGAGCAAACTGAGCGAGCAGACTCAAACATCTGTCACTTCCATGTTCTATATTCTTCTTTCTGAGAAGGAGAAACAAGGAACCTTTTAATGGCTGCTTCTTCACAAGAGGACTTTCATCAGCAGATGTGCAACGAGAGTGAAGAGGAGACATCCTGTCAGCTGAGAGACCTGGTTGGCTGGCCGGCAATTGACAGTATCTGTATCAAACAAGTTCGTTTTTCCAGAGTGTAAAGTATTGCAGATGGACTCCGTGGTGCAACCTTTCAGCGTGATGTGCTTTTCTATACCTGACAAACAAGAAGGAAAGTCACACAAAGCCTGGTGAGGATGACCTAAGAAGTCCACTCATCCACTTAGTGGTTGCCTAACCACAACACGCTATTCTTTCAGCTTGTTTAACAAAATTCCAGTATTATATTCACAAAATATGTGGATATAAACCATATCATCGAATAACGTGATGGTTTGATACAGCTAACAGAAGAATAGAGTGGGAAGCCTAGAGGTCTTGTAATCCAACTCGCTACTTAAGGAGGAGACGCTCTATGATTCTGGACAAATGGCTGTCCAGTCTCTTCTTGAAAACCTCCAATGATGGGGCACCCACCACTTCTGGAACACACGTTCTGTTCTCCTGATAGTTTTGACTGACAGGAAAATTCTGTTTAATTTTAGGATAGATCTCTCTTCAATAAACTTCCATCCATTACTTTCTTTGTCCTGCTTTCAGGTGCTTTGGAAAATAGGTTGACCCCCACCTCCTTTCTGTGACCGCCATGCAAGTATTGGAAGACTGCTATCATGTCACCCAGAGGTGGTATTCATCAGGTTCTGACCAGTTCTGGAGAACTGGTAGCTGAAATTTTGAGAACCAGAGAGAACTGGTAAATACCACCTCTGACTGGCCCAACTATTCTCTGCTTCCCATGTCCCAGCTGATCGGCTGGGTCTTCTTTGGTTGCCCTGCACAGGAGAACGGAGCTGGAAAGCAGGTTAGTGGGGTGGGGAGGGAATGGGGATTTTGCAGTAACCTTCCCCTGCCACGCCTACCAGGCCACACCCTCCAAGCTATGCACACAGAACCGGTAGTAAAAAAAAAATTGAATCCCACCACTGATGTCACCCCTAATCTTTCTCTTCATTAGACTATATATATCCAGTTCCTGCCACTGTATGGGTGAGGATCCCACCTAAGCCATATACACCCACAATGAAACATATCCATGGTTAAATGAACTCAGGTTCACATATTTGTAATTTATTGGGCAAGGTAGGTTGTATAAATGCAGTCAACATGTTTTAAGGTGACGTGTGAACATATTCATAATATAACCTCAGAATTACCTGGATATTTATGCTCAGCCAAATCCAGGCAGTAATTTTCAAATCCAGTACACTCGACTGTCTTCACAGGACATGGCTCAGATTCAGAATAGCAGGCTGGGCAGTATTTCCCATTGGCTGTCATATTTATTGGTGGCCCTGGAAAAAAAAGAGAGCCCAATTAATTAAATCAGAACATTTGAGTTCAAAAACGAACAACCCTCTTGTGATCATTGGTTCCATTAGTTTCAGGCATTTGTCATCCATAGTTGCTCTCACATCTACTCCTGCATTTTTTTACGAACAGTCCTTAAGTTACGATTATTCGTTTAGTGACTGTTCCAACCTACAATGGCACTGAAAATAAGTGACTTACAACCGGTCCTCATTCTTACAACCTTTGCAGCATGCCTGCCACAATCCAGCCCACCTCACAGGGTTATTGTGGTGGGAGAAATAGGATACTAGATATGTTCATTGTCTTGACTTACTTTAAGTATTTTTAAAAAATCTAATACATAAATTAATAAATAAACATTCCCAACACTATTGATGCAGTCTTTAAAGAATCCTACAAGCCCTCCAGATAAAGTTGTTTACTCATCTTGCAAAGGGGAACCTGCCCCCCCGCCCCAGAAACATCTAACTTGCAATTCAAGGATTAGAACTCCAGATCAGGAATGACCAACCTTAGCAAGTTTAAGACCAGTGGACTTCAATTTCGCAGATAGAGAAATGCTGGGGAATTCTGGGAGTTGAAGTCCACAGGTCTTAAAGTTGACAAAGTTGGACACCTCTGCTCTCCATCATTCTGAATTACAATACTCAACAGGGCCTCTAGTAGAGAATTCCTGTTACTTGAAGTTCTTGGAGGGTATGGCAACTCCCAATTCTTTTGAGGTGATTCTGCAGGTTCATCAATCAAGGTTTGGAGTGCCAATTATTTCTGACATGGTTGGATGATGGTCACTGGCAGAGGCAAAGAAGAAGAGACCTACATGGAAGAGAATCTTCTCTGCAGTCTTCTCCTGAGCAACACAGGATACTTTTCCTGAGGAATTCTCCTTGTCCAAAGGTCACCAAAACAGATGCAGAGGTGCAGTTTTCTGAGAAATAGCAGCCCTTTCCTATAATCGACATATTTTTTCCTCCTGCCAAGAGAGAAGATTTCATAGTTGGTGATGTTTAGGCCTTCACCTAGCCTAGTAGTGCACAGAGCTTTTATATGGGACTCCTTTTGTGACTAAGGATCTCAGAACTGTAATAGGATGCTTAGCCTCAAGAAGCATCCAGATCAATGGTTGACATCTCCAAGCCTAATACCTTGGAGGGTTACCTCTAGGTAAGCCAGCAAGTTGAAGGCAACTTTCCATGTTTGGATCATCCTTTATTAATTTGCAGTCATAAAGAAGCATGTTTGTTATTACTGTTAATATTTGATTTCTAAATCCCTCAGTGGTTAAAATTGCTGCGCTTTTCAGCTGGACAACAGACGCCCTGGGTTTGAGACCCGAGTGCCATATGATGGGGTGAGCTCCCATTCTTGTCCCAGCTCCTGCCCACCTAGTAGTTCAAAAGCATGCAAATGTGAGCAGATAAATAGGTACCACTTCAGTGGGCAATAGCCTTCCATGTGCTTTTGGCATATAGTCATGCCAGCCACATAACCGTAGAAGTGTCTTCGGACAACAGTGGCTCACTCGGCTAGGAAGTGGAGATGAACACTGCCCCTTAAAGATGGACATGATTATGGACAGGGGAAATCTTTACTTTTACCCAATGGCTACAATTCTGATGGGCAATGCTCAAATCAATAAAACGCATTATAGAAAAGATGTAGCTATCTCAATGCAGAGAAAAAAGAGGGTTCCAGCAAAAAAGTTTCCAATGTATTGATGATAGATGATAGAGATAGGTGTGTATGCGTGGGTGTGTGTGTGTGTATGTGTGTGTAGGTAGGGATATATACCATGTGTCCCTGAAAATAAGACTGGGTCTTATATTAATTTTTGTTCCAAAAGAGGCATTAGGGCTTATTTTCCAGTTAGGTCTTATTTTCAGGGAAATACGATACTAAATGCATCTGTGTGGCTGACAAGCTTAACTGGGGCTTATTTTTTGGGGGGGGTAGGGCTTATATTACGAGTATCTGGAAAAATTATGCTAGGGTTAGGTATTATTTTTGGAAAAACATGGTATGTATGCATATAGCATGTGTATATGTGTGTTATATATATGTATGGATAGATACACATAGATACATACTTTCTTTTGAGAGTAGGCAACCGAATTTCATTTTTAATGTCTTCCAGTGTGCTCACCATAAAAAAAATCGACAATAAAGTTTATCTTAATCTTAATATTCCATTTTTGTTCTTATAACCGAAGGAGGCATCATCTTAATCCACAGCAAACATGGGTGGCAGGTTGGACTGCAATAAGGACTGGCCCAAAGTCAGCCAGTGAACATCATGGTCAGGAAAGGAACAGAGCTTAATCTGTTAGTTTCAGTTCAACTCTTTAATGTAATCCCACTCACCAACTGGCCTGGAGGGTAGAGGTATTCCTTGACTTACAACCATTCAAAGTTACAGTGGCACTGTAAAAAGTGACTTACAACCAGTCTTTGACCTTATAACCCTCACAGCATTCCCCACGAGTCATATGATCAAAATTTGTTGCTTAGCAACTGGCATGTGTTTATGATATTTACAGAATCCCGGGTGTGTGTGTGTCATGTGGTCATCATTAGTGATCTTCCCAGCTGGCTTTCCAACAGGCAAAATCAATGGGGGAAGCTGGATTCACTTAATGACTGTGTGACTCATTTAATAACTGCAGACATTGCCAATTGTGGTCAAAAGGTTGGCAAATCAGGAGCAATTCACTTAACAAAACACCTTGCTTAGCTACAGACATGCTGGTCGTAAGTCAAGGACTTCCTGTATTTCCAAGGACAAAAATAAACTATTGTAGGGAGAGAAGATCAAGAGGTCTGCTTGTCTACTGATCGTCCTTTCACTCACCTTTGGAGATCTCTGTCAGTTCAATTAAACAGATGTCCTCTTCCATTTCACACTCCTCTTTTTCACTTTTACAACTATATCCCGTGGCCAAACATATTTCACACTCCTGGGGGGCACCTGAAAAAGTGAAATGACCCATCAACTTGCAGGACAGATATTTCAGCCATGTATCCACGGCTACCTGTCAATGACTACTTCAGCTTGAACCGTGATAATACACGGGCAAACAATACCATAGGTACAAACTCAAAGTAAACCGCTCCAAACTCGATTGCAGGAAATAGGACTTCAGCAACAGAGTGGTCAACGCCTGGAATTCACTATCTGACTCTGTTGTTACATCCTCAAACCCCCAGAACTGGACCTCACTCCATTCCTAAGAGGTCTGTAAGGATGCATGCATAAGCGCACCAGTGTGCCTACCGTCCCTGTCCCACTGTTCCCATTTATTCATACTCAATTATTATGTATATACTTACACTGTTTATACTTATATGTGTATATGTTCATACTTGTTTTCTCATACATGCTTGACAAACAAAATAAATTAGTTAAATAAATAAACAATCCCACCTTCCCTTCCCCAAAATATCTTTTGTTAGGTCCACTAGCCACTACAGTCACTCCTACCAATTTGTATTAGTGACCAGAGTGTCTAATGAACCTAAACACCTATTGTTTAGCAACAGAAATTTTGAGCTTGATTGTGGGCATTAAATCAAGGATTTCCTGTCCTGGAATCTTGTAAATCTGCCTGGGTTTTCCATTTCCTCCCTCTTATTTCCCCAGTGACTCATGGGGTGAGTCTCTCTTCTAACCTTCTCCCATTCCCTGGGGCACAACTCATGTTTCCTCTGTGTTGTCTACGCAAGTACAGGTATGAGCTACGCTACCTGGAAAATTCTGGAAAATGTCGAGTTAGAGCAGGCATATCTTGGAAAGGTTTTTCATGATGTAAAAAAAAGATTTGAACTAGAAGATGAGCCTCGGTGGCACAGTGGTTAGAGTGCAGTACTGCATGCTACTTCTTCTGACTGCCGGGCTGCCTGCAGTTTGACAGTTCAAATCCCACCAGGCTCAAGGTTGACTCAGCCTTCCACCCTTCCGAAGTGGGTAAAATGAGGACCCAGATTGTTGTGGGGCAAGAGGCTGGCTCTGTAAACCGCTGTAAAGAATTATAAAGTGGTATATAAGCCTAAGTGCTATTGCTATTATAAGAACCGTGGTGGCGCAGTGGTTAGAATGCAGGATTGCTGGCTAATTCTGCCGACTGCCAGCAGTTCGACCATGACTGGTTCATGGTTGACTCAGCCTTCCGTCCTTCTGTGGTGGGTAAAATGAGGATTTATTGGAGGCCATACGCTGACTCTGTAAACCACTTAGAGAGGGCTTTAAAGCACTATGGAGTGGTATATAAGTCTAAGTGCTACTGCTATCTGCTTAGTCCTGCTTTCATAATCTGTCAGAGACGTTTCCCAGCTGCTGAGGAATTACCAGAGGTTTCTTACCGGAAGAAAGAAGGGCAGAAATGCAAAATAAGCTCAGAAGAACTTTCATCTTGAGTGATGAAGATGGCAGCATCTCCTTGGAACTTCTTCTGCAGTGGGGCCACTTCTATGTCCTAAAGGATAAACATTCACAGGAAAAAGTGGTTTGTTTGTTTTTTTTCAACCAGGGCAACCTGCTCTACCCAAATATGGGATGGAACGTACAGCATCTGCTTTTGCCTTTCGGTCCCCATCCAGGAGCCTTCGCAGACAGAGCCGCTTCTGCGACAAACTATTGTGGTGTTGAATTTTTATTTAACACAACAACACACCTTTAAATCACCTTTAAATAAACACACCTTTCTTCCTTTGTCAGTAAGTATAAATTTAACACAGTCACAGGAAAAACAGACATTTACAGGTTAGTCTTCGACTTAACGACCACAATTTGTATGGCTAAGTGAGATATGTGTTGGGTTTTGTCCTGTTTTTATGATCTTTCTTGCCGCAGTTGTTTTAAGCGAATCACTACAGCGGTAAAATAAAAAATCTGGTTGTTAAGTGAATCTAACTTCCCTGTTGATTTTGGTTGTCAGCAGGTCGCAAAAGAGGATCACACGACCCTGGGATACTCCA